CGCGTTCACTCACACTTCCCCTTCTGCAGTCTTCCCCAAGCTCTTGTGCAGGTCTAGCCCTGCCTGCCTGGTTCTTTCACCATCCCTTGCCATTTAGGGGGCTTCTAGACTAGACCTGGGCTAGACCTGACCCTTGATCTCTTGCTTCTGTTACAGTTTCTAATTTGCTGACTGGTGCCCAGAAAATATGTGCTGTGCTTTAATTAATGGTAACTTAATGTTTATGGCAGTTCCATCATTGATTTTGGTTTTTCCAAATATACAGTTATCTTGTCTTTAAATAATGCTATTTTTAGTCATTTTTTCCAGTTCCCAGATCATCCTTTTTTCTCCTTTTATTGGAGAAGTTGAGGCACAGAGGGAAGCCACTTATTTGTCAGTAGCTAATTCAAGGCCTACGCTTCTTCCTGGGGCTTTCTTTGACACTTCCTGTCCTCTCTGTCCCCTCCCTAGCAGTCTTTCTCTCTCCTTGTCTCCTTTTCATGTCATTTTTCAGAGTTATGGGCCTTCATGCTACTAGAGAAAGGAGCAGGGGAGGGCACTCACTGACCCTTTTGCAGGCATTGGAGTGTCCTCCATGCCCACGCCCAGCATTTCTCAGACAGATTTATGTTCCCAGCCAGAGGCAATTGGGAGTCCTGGTAGAAATGAGAGGGAGCCAGAGAGATGGAAGTTGATGGAAGTTCCTGGGTAGAATAATAACAACTTGCTACATTCAATCTACAGCCTCCCTGCTATGCTTTGCCCCTTCAGCACTGCACATGCGATGCCAACCAGCTGCTTGTCGGGCTTCCTGGGTCTGAGCCCCCAGTTCAGGGAATGCTGGGTGTAAGCGGGTGCACACTGGTGTCTGTGTAATTAAAAATGAGCATGCATCACTTCACCCAGAGAGATGCCACCACCTTGGCTGGGATGCAACAGCTGCTTGCTGGTTCTATGTCTGCCTGGCTCTCCAGTGTGGCCCAGAGGGGTGGGTAGCAAAGGGTGAGCAGAGAAGACCCAGGGTCTTTCATCCCCATGAGACAGGAGGTAAAGGACTATGATGGAATAGGGATGTATCAAGCAGATCTCACCCTTTTTTGGGCCAAGAGTTTGTGTAGGAGATGTGTGCCCATCCTTGGGCACACCCATGTCCTCCTTTTGGGCATTTGCCATCTACCCTCTGAGCAAATCCAGCCCTTGGGCAGCCTGGGAGTGGAATCTATTCTTAGCCTCCAGTGTGGGCCTAACCTCTTCTGTCTTTCACCCACTCCATACCTTTAGCTGAAGCCAGGGCACAGGCTGATATTCTGAGAGCAAAACATAAAATGATGATAGTCAAGGTCATCTCTCCCCCTCAGAGAGGGTCTGATGGTCCATGGGAGTCATATGCATAACTGCACCCTGGATGGTGGGCTTGTCAGGTTACCAGTGGCCTCCCTGCCTTGTTAGTTTTCACATGCTTCTGGCTGTCTGGGTGGTGCAAGGGAGTGTGTCAGAACTAGCAGTACTAAAGGCCTAACCAGGCTCCTTTATCCAGCAGAACCAGCCCAGTGTGGCATTGAGCTGGTGTCCTTGGCCATTGGAATCTACTCTTGAAGGGCTCCCTGGGGCTAGCTGAGGAAGAGGCATCTGGCCTTGCCTTCCTCCAATGATTTTTCCATGCTTACCGCCTCATTGATACATTGCCTGGGCCATAGCTCCTGTTGTGCAATGAGGACCTGAAAGCCTCCCTTTCTTCCCCCAGAGGCTGCACCTGGCTGGGAAGGAAAGGGCTTGTCCTCTCTGCCTGATCTCCCAGAGACAGAGCGTATGGCCAGTCCTGCCCCCTTGTTCTTCATCTCCAGCCCCCATTAGACGCAATCCTGCTCAGTGAGCAGAGCATGGAGGGAAGAGGAATCTCCCAGGAAGAACTGCAAGAGCCACTGTAAGCCCTTTACTTGCCTGTGGGCTGAGATTGGATGTTCAACACAGTGCCTTCCTCATTCCCCTTTTCCTCTGCCCCAGAGTCTGCATTTTGACAGGATCTGGCATGTGTTATAATGATTTGGGGTTACACAGTCAATGGGATTTTAATTAGCTTTGAGCTTCCCCCTATTAGGGACAGCTACGGGTCCGCAGGTATCAGGGCTGAGACCAGGTTGGTTTTGGGTCTGAGGCAGATCTGGGCAGCTGCTTCTTCCCAGGAGGCTGATGGGGAGGCAGGGATGTACAGAGAAGGAAGGGTCCTGTAGTCAGGGCACAGTTTTCTCTTCATCCTGTATAACCTCTGTTCCTCTGTTCTTCCCGATGGCTTTGAGATGAAGGCGATGGCAAGGATGGAGGATGCAGTTTCCATGGCAACAGGGCTGTCCATAGCTAGGCAGCTTCAGAGCTGGGCTCTCTGGAGGAGGCAGATGTGCAGAGCAGCCGCAGAGCTGCCTCCTGCCTGCCAACGAGGGGGGCTGGAAGAGCAGGTGGCACAGGGTATATGCCTGGTGCTTTCCACCCTAATGCCCAGTCTAGAAGAGAGGGTGGAAAGAGCACTACTTCCTCTTATCGTCTCTATTACTACCAAGCTCCTCCAGAATGGAAGTTAGGGCTGTGGTCTGAGTGTTAGTGGCACTAGAATAGGGTCCCTATTGTCCCTGGAATCTCTGGGTGGGCACAGGCTTTAATTTCTGAGAGAATCCCCAAAAGCCAGTTGTCAATAGCTCTTAAAATGGCTGGTGACCATTCATCTGCTGTACTTTACATCCTTTAGATGCCCAGATCATGAGGATGCTGGTGAAGGCAATGCCTTTACTGGGTTTGGGAATCCTTTTCTTCCCTCTAACTGCCAGAGGAGTTGAGGGTCTTCTTCAGAGAGATTCCTTGTCCCTGGCCTTGGTAACCTGGCCCAGTTTACTGAGTAGGGCTCAGGTTTGACATATGCCCACCCCTAAGAGCTATCATTGGAGGGCCACCGAACTTGGTAACTCCTGCTTCCTGGTACGGTTTTTGTAAGTCTCCAAAGAACCAAGCCTGTGTTGGGCATATGTGTGGGTGGAGAAGCAATGCAGCCATCAAAAACAGTCAAAATGTGTTTAGAGACAGCAGGAATTGGGGCATGGACTTGGAGCTGGTGTGGGGGGAGCTAGAACAACCAGGTTGGCAGAAATGGACTCCAGCTATGAAAACTAATGACTTTCCTTCACTGACTTTGGAAGCATTGGGTCCAGGATGTTGCCCTCTGTGGCTGAATGCATAGGCTTTTCCTGGGTCACCCATGGCATTGGAGGCTAAGCTGTAGCTGCCCTGGGCCAGGTTATATGGCTTCCTGGGTGTATCCTCCCTCTAGCTGGTACTGAGGGTCTTAGCTTGATTTGCCTTTCAGGGTTCTTCCTCTTTTTCTTGTCCCTCACTAGGTTCATTTATATTACCCCCTTTCCTGACATTAATTGGAAGAGGTTCTTCAACCCTCTGCTTGGCCAGGCAGGCAGCAAGTGGAGTCCTGGAGTGGCTTATCCAAGCCAGGCGATAAGTCTCTCATTACTGTTAAGTGGAAGGCTCATTTCAGAGTTCGTGGTGAGAGCAGTCGGGTGCTATAAATAGCAGTGTTGTGAAGGTGAGGGCAGGGGCCTCACAGTCATCTTGGTAGGTAATTGTGCTCTATCATAGGAAAGGAGGGGTAGGCTCTGGAGCAAGAGACACTTGACCCTAGTTCTCATTGTTCCTTCTGGCCTTAGGGAAGCTGTGGCATGTGTCTGTCCACTTCCACCCACTCAGGGACAGGGAACATTGGGGCCTGTGTCCAGGCACAGGGGAGTGAAATGCCTTCAGAACTTGGGGCACCAAAAGCTGGTATTTTAGTCCAATGGGTAATATCCAGTGCTAGACCTACATGTCATGCCTGCCCCTCCAGCTTAGCCTCTGCCCCCTCATCTGAGCCCCTGGGCCCAGGAGAAAGTATGGGAACTGCATTTGATAGTCTCAGAGGTCCTAGCAAGGGACATAGATTTAGCAGGGGAATGGGAGCAGAAGCAGGGTCTGTGGTAATGTGTCTGTTGGCAGAGGCTGGAAGCCCCAGAATCAGAGGTACTGGCCTCAACTAATATTTCTGGTTTAGTTGGCATTGTCCAGGGTAAAGAAGTTGTCAGGGCCAGGAGGTAATTTGGGGTTGGAAAGTCTTAACAGGTTAGACCTTGATGTGCGTGGCTTAGGGGTTCATGGAATCCCCGTCCTGGATGGTCTAGATGTGCTAAGCTTCATAGCTCTAGACCAGCTTTTTAGTCCCAGACACAATGTAGAATCAGCAGTGCTAGACTTGTGGGCTCTTTTAGCTACTATTCTAAAATGTTGTTAAGGATTCCTGGGTCCTTCGACCACTATACCTTAGACTATAGGGCCCTGTTCTTTTTATTTTTTCTTGGTACCAGGGATTGAACTTGGGACCTTGTGCTTTTGGGGCAGGCAGCGACACTACTGAGCTAAATCCTTGGACCCAGGGCCCTGTTCTTAGGGAGATCTGCAATTGCCTCCTTCAGTAGGGGTTTTAAACTTTGAAGAGACTGGGATGAGAGGCACAGCCAGCCCCTTGGTAAAGAACAGAGAATAGACAGTTCCTGGAGCCACCTAGGGACAAATGGGTTGCGGGCCCTGTAGGACTTATTCCACTTTTTCTAACTCTCTGGCTAGGAGCGGAAGCTGTGTGCCCACCCTCGGCTAGAGATCTACCAGCAAGACCAGATCCATTTCATGTGCCCACTGGCACGGCAGGGAGACTTCTATGTGCCAGAAGTGAAGGAGACAGAGCGGAAATGCCGGGGTCTTGTGGAGGCCAGTGATACCCAAGTGGATGATGCAGGTATAGAATGGGGTCATGAGGGTAGGGCCCTCTTCTGGATATCCAAGGGAATGGTTGAGGAGGCTTCTCTATGTGTTGGCACTGTGGGTGTCAGGCATACTTGGCAGAGGGAGGAAGGAGACATTCCTATCCCAGGACATATATGCAGAGTTGTCTCTTCTCAGAAATGTGGTTCTCACAGGTATGGTTTCACTCACATTCCCCTTGGCAACACATAAAGCCCCCATTTGGATTCCCACCAGATGTATCAGGATTACCCTTGGAAACAGATCACAGCCAATTGGATACTCATGGGAGGGGGCTGAAGCTGCTCAGGAAAGGAGTCACTTGCGTGGGGCTCATCAGAAAGTAATATTGGCACAGGATCTTGAAGATAAGGAGAGGAACAAAGCATTCTCCTATCCCTCACTGTGGGACCCCACCAGCACTGACTGCTTTTTCCCTGCCTCTGCTACCAAGGACAGCCCATGAACCTGCTGGCAGCCACAATGCCCCAGGACAAGGCTAGGAGGCTACTTACCTGCTCCCAGCTCACCTCCAGCCATAACTTCTTGTGACCTCAGGCTGTTCCCAGAGGCAGAGGGGCCAACTGATAACATTCACAAGTGGTTCCAGGGGCACAAATCCTTCACTGCTCTGGATGGAACCTTTGTGAATCTGGAAGGGCATGATTTCTAAGAGTGGTACAGAGAGCTGTGAGGGGAAGGACTGTCCCTTTTACTCTCCTTCTCTAGGAGACTTTCTGTCCATCCAGTCTTCAACAGCCAAGGTCACCCTAGAGAGACATGTGTTGGCTGGTGGAAGAAGGGTAGTGAGAGGCAATCTCTGCTCCCTTGGGGCCTGTGTCCAGCAGAGTTAACTTCATCTGCTACTTTAATTACCTCCATGGGGTACTGCTCCCTTCTGTCTAGTAGTGCCTGGCAGATATTCTTTCAGTGCTCCTACTTTGGGCACAGGACATGACACAAGGTCAACAGACCCAGGCAGCCCCCAGGACAGGAAGGAGGAGTACTTTGACCTTCCTCTGACCTCCCTCTGCTGCCTGCCTACTCTCTTTGACCCACCCACTGTTTCCTTCCCTCCCAAACACAGCCTGCTAGAAGTGTTGAAGGACTGCCTGGCACCTGCTAGTGCTGGCTGCAGCTGCAGCTCCCACACCCTCCAGTTCCTCGGCCTGTCCTCCCTACCAGCCTGCCCACCCAATCCCTAGTGTGGGGCTGAAGATCTGCCCACCCCTGATAAGGCCTGTCCTGACACCCTGTGGTGGACTGTGGGCATCTGCTGCCAGGTGCATGCCACTTAGCAGTGCGTGGTGGATGCATGGCCACCCAAGGCTTGGCCTGTCCCTGCCTGCCTCCCCACTGAGCTGTGGCTTGGGCTAGAAGGTGAAAGGGGGTGATTAGCTGCTTTGTGCCTGTTATTACATTGATGTATTATTTAGCTCCAGAGAGGCGATGAATATTTGATCTCTTTGCACTGGCTGTGGGCAGAGGGGGAGGAACTGGGGTGAAAGTGGCAGCTTCACATCCCCTGGCCAGCAGCCCTGGGGATTTAGGTGCTTCCTTGCCTTGCCTGGTATCTTCTCCTTAGGGTTAAGGCTCAGGGGATGAGGACCTTCTCCTGTGTGTATTTTGGTGGGTCTATAGGGATGCCACTCCCCTGCCTTTAGCTCCTTCATCACAACTGTTTGTATATTCCCAGGAGCTGTTTTCCTCCCAGCATGCTGAGCCCTGGGATGAAGGAGGCACCCTTGGGCTCCTTCCTTTGATTACTTCTAGCCAAGGAGTAGTAAGGGAAGCATCAGGCTGGAAGCAGAGGTCTCTAGAGTCACTGGATGGGTGGCAGACAGAATTTGGCAGTAATGGGTCCAGGAAAAAAACCACTTCCCTCCTTGTGACTAGGTCTGTAACCTCTGGGACACTGATCATTTAATTTAGAGTGAGTGAGAGGCTGGAGCCCTGCCCCAGGAGCTCAGCCCAGGCTTCTACTCTACTCTGTTAGCATGCCTCTATGCAGAAGCCATGCCTGGAGCCCCACCAGCTACAGGGCCCTGACTAGCAGGCTGGCACTTTCAGGATTCACCTCACTCTGCCAGTGAGGACCAAGAGAACATCTTCTGACGCCAAGTAGATTGGGGAAGCAGGCCCCAAATCTTCTTGTTTTTTTTTGAACCAGGGATCGAACTCAGGACCTTGTGCTTGCAAAGCAGGTGGCGGAACCACTGAGCTAAATCCCTGGCCCCTCATTTTTAATATAGGCCTCAGCTGAGATTCAGAGACAGCTCCAGGCAAGTCCAAATGCAAAGCAGTCCCCAGATATATCTGGCTTTGGCCTGTATCACCATGGAAACAGGATCTGGGAAAATCAGCCCACCCCTCACCTTGCATGATATGCCACAGGAAGGGTGGCACATTGTGGGCCTGAGCTCTTTGTTCTTCCTTGCTACCTTCCAGCTATATTCAGTACCTCTGATTCGGGGAGATGAATGGAGAGGTTGCCCCTAGATAGGGAAGATGAAGGGCCACTTGCTTAGAGCATTTACTGGGTTAAAGAAACAGGTTAGGGAAGGGCCTGGGCCACCACTGTTTTGGGGCTCCCCAGCCACCAGGTCCCTTTTTTCTGCCATGTAGTACAGGAAAAAACAGTGGCTGGGGAGGGGCTTGTTGAAGTGGATAATAGTTTCTCTAGGTTGACCCAGGCATAGGGCGAAGGTCTTTAAAATGCTCTATCCCAGAACCCACCTTTCTTGTGACTGGTTGAGTGTTTGCTAAGACTTCTCCACCTTTGTGCCTCAGACCCCTCCTTAAGTGGAGACTCAGGATGGCCAGGGTCAGGGGCCAGCTGACTTCTTGGATATAGCTGCTTCTTAGAGAAGCTTGTGGGGGTGGGAGCTGGAGAGGCCTCCTGGTCCATTCTTGGGTTCTTGCACCTAGTCTTGGACAAACCTCTTTTTAAGCCTGAAATGAGGGATGGAGGGGACACTTCCAGTCTCTTTGTTCTACCCTCAGCTTCTCACCCTGGGGCTGAGTAGCCCTTAATGGATTGGGAGAGGGGATAGCAGGCTTCGTGAGAGTGCAGGGAGCTGAGGCTAATAAAGGGTAAGGAAGGGAGTACATAGCCAGCTGCTCCCTCTCCCATTCTTCCTCCCTCCCTGCTCTCTCCTTCATCCCTGTCAGTGCAGCCCCAGTCAGGGCAGAGGGCAGCTGGAATGGGTCTCCTGAGCCATGGTGGGTATATTATTCATGAGCAGGCTGTGTATGCTCAGGTGTTGAGCTGGTGGTAGAGTCCCTGCTCTGGAAGATGAGACCATGTTGGTGTTGGTGGGGTGCAGCGGTCCTGACTAACTTGTGCTCCCTTGTCCTGGCCACAGGAGCTGACACAATGAGTGACACCAGTTCTGTAAGCCTGGAGGTGAGCCCTGGCAGTCGGGATACGTCAGCCACCACTCTGTCCCCTGGGGTGAGCAGCCGAGGCTGGGATGATGGTGATCACCGCAGCGAGCACAGTTACAGCGAGTCAGGCGCCAGTGGCTCATCCTTTGAGGAGCTAGACCTGGAGGGAGAGGGGCCCTTGGGAGAGTCACGGCTGGAACCTGAGGACAAACCTCTAGGAGCCACTTCAGGACCTCAGTTCCCCTGAGAAGGGTGAGGAGTATTCTGTGACCTGCAACCTCCTGTGATACAGTTGCTAAGGAACTGAGCAAGCTCTCCAGCCCGTTTTCTCCGTTCCTTCTCCAGACTGATCTGGGGGTCACTGGGGGTCTGACCTCTCCCACCCTAGGTCTGTAGCTAAGCCCTTTTGGCCTCCAAGGCCAAAGATGCCAAGGACTATTTACATCACCCCTTGGACTGCCACCCCTGTCATCTTTTTTCAGACTCACATTGGAGCTTCCAGAATCCAGAATAAAACAAATGATTTTCTTGTTTCATCTTGATTTGGGTTGTGTGTTTATTTGTTCAACACTGGGGAGCACTGTGCAGCTAGGCTGGGAATGGGTAGGAGCCTCCTAAGCACAAGGAAAAGAAGGATCCCTGGAGTGAGGGGAGAGGGAACATTTGAAGCCCTGCTTTATGACCCCAGTGGACAACCACCCTACAATGCAGTGACCTTTGGGGCTCCCCTAGTCTGGTGAGAAACAGCAAGGAGTGTGACAGCTAAGCACAGAGTGCCCTCCAGGGCTCAGAAGTGGAGAGCTCACAGCTTGCCTTTGTCTGCTTCCAAGGATGCGTTTATGTATCTGTGGTTCAAGTGTGCCTGTGCTCATGCTGGGACCTCTGCTTCAGGTGAAGACACCCTGCTGTGCTGGCCAGTGCCTTCATAGCTGGGTGTGTATATATACGTACAGACAGAGCTGCTCATGGTGTTCTTGGGTGAGCGTACCCAGGTGAGCATCAAGAGGTGATTGTGACCAGGCATGGTGGCTCCTGCCTGTAATATATCACTGTGAGAGGCTGAGTCAGGAGGATTATAAGTTCAGGCCCAGTTTGGGCAACTTAGCAACTTAGTAAAACCTTGTCTCAAAACAAAAATTTTTTAAAAGGGTCAGTGATGTAGCTTAGTGCATAAGCTCTATTTCAATCTTCAGTACAACACACACAAAAAAAATATGTTTTTAGCTGGGCATGGCTACATATGTATAGATAGCTGCATGGCTATTGCATATACTGCTGTGTTTTGTGTGTTTAACGGTATGGGTTGCGTGCTAGGGATGTGTGAGACTGGCTGTCTGGAAGCATGTCTGGGGCTTTATCTGTATGTAGTTACCTGTGGCTGTGTACACAGTCATGTGTTCAAGTGTAAAGACATATGTTTTATTGTGTATCCATGGATAAATCTATGGGTCTGTACAGGTGTGTGTCCATGATCACAACTCTGAATGTGGGGGCATGACTATATATCTAGCTGTTTATGTGTGGCTGTGTGTCCATATGTAGATACCACTATGGCTATTTGGCCATAGTGTACAGCTGTGTAGGGGAATTACGTACTTTTGGAATCATGTACAGCAATGTATTTTGGCTGTGTCTGCCTACCTATACAACTATGTGTGTCACCATGTCCTCAGGTACAATTATGTATGTGAAGTTGGGTGTGTGTATTTGTTTTTTTGAAACAGAGTCTTGCTGTGTAGTTTAGGCTGGTCTTGAACTCACTGTGCATCTCAAACTGGCCTCAAACTCACAATGATCCTCCTGCCTCTGCTTCCCAAGTGCTGGGATCACAGGTGTGTGCCTGGCTTGGGTGTATGTTCTTGTCTGTGTGCCCAGCTGGGAATGGTGGCTACATGTCTTTGTGTCATTGTGTGTCTGTGGCTGCAGTGACAGTGCAGCTCATCACCACAGGCCATGTGAAAGGTTCCCATCACTGCTGCTGTGTATAACCGTGTCTGTGTATAAAGCCTGGTGTCTTTTGTGAAGCTGCCTTGGTGAGTGGGCTGGGTGTGGGACTGGGATCGCTGTGCAGCTTTTCTCACCTCAGCACCCTCCTGCTGTCAACCCCGCTGTTCCAAAGCCTGGTCCATTGCTCACCTACCCCAGGGAGCGGCTGCTCTGAGCCAGCCAGAGGGTGAGAGCAGTTGGTGGCAGAGCTGGAGCTGGAAGACAGCATGTCTGTCTCCCCAGCTTTGTCTGACAGCTCTGAACCCTCCTCCCGCTGTTACCTCTCTCCCATTAGTGATAGGTTTTGTATTTGTTTGGGTTTGATGTGTCTGTTTTGTTTCAAAGCTGTATTCTTCAGAGAGCAGTGGAGCATCAAGCCTCCGTGTCCAGGGAAAAAGCCTGTCCTTGTGATCCTGCCCTCAAATACCACACATACATTTTGATGTGTGCGTCTGAGGGGCCTGGGCTTGGCATTTTTATCAGCATCTATCTAAGGTGACCCTACTTCCACTGACACCTGTGGGAAAAAGGGCAGCACCAGGGGAACATGTAGGGATATTGTGCCCCTAGCATCATTAATGTGTGTATGTCCAAGGGAAAATAACACAGGTCAGGGGGTAGACCTGAGCTCAGGTCCTCTCCCCAAATCCTTCAGCATGGCCTGATCTACTGTTTATCCACCACCCCTGCCCAGTGTTGTCCTTACCCATCCTCTGTGGGAGGGAAGAGTCAAGAGCGTCTTCTTCGAGCTGTCCTCCCTCTGGTTGGGCTCTAGCGCACACTCCCTCCTACACAGCAGCCAGTTCCAGGAGCCCTTCTTGGCCCCTTCCTTCCCAGATCCCCATCAACCCAGCAGATCCTTCAGGAAAGACCCTAATGCTTGGCTTTGAAAGTCTCCAAAGGTTGATATTTCTGCAATAAATGTCCTTTGTACATTGGAGCAGGGGCTCGTGGGGGAGGGGTAGCAGCCTTAAAGGTCATCTGCAGGAAGCAAGGGGGAGGTCTGTTCTCTGACCTCCCCTTCTCTCCAAGCTTTTGCTCCTGGTGACTCAGGTCCTAGCTCTCACTTGGGGCCTAATATGTGGCCTGTGCTGCAGTTGCTGAGTGGAGAGAGTGGATGAAGACAGGGACCGACTTTCTGCAACAGGCCAGTACTCCATTGGCAACAGCCTACGTGCCCCCTTACCTATCTCCCTGATGTCTGCTCAAGAACCTGGGTGCAGCTCCTCCGCTCTCACTGACGGGACCCATGGCATTGTCCTCGTTCTCTTGGTTCAGTGACCTTCTCACCCCTGCCCCATGCCTTTTTACCTCCGCTTCTCTAGAATGCAGTGTGGCTGGCTGCGGGGCGAAGGGACCTGCGAGGCACCTGCTCCGGTGCAGAGCTGGAGTGCCCAGGGATTCAGCACCACACAGCGGACAGCTCCGGGCCCGTGAAGAGCTGTGGAGGGATCGGAAAAGAGGCTGAAGCTGGGCTGGGAGGGAGAGACCTGCAGCTGGGAGGACCGGAGGAGGGGCCGGGGGCGGGGCAGCCACGATTGAAAGCGGCTAGGCGGGCGGGCGGCAGGCGCAGAGCGGGAGAGCGAGCCAGCAAGCTGGATCCGGAGTCCCGCGACCCTGCTTTACTCCGATTCTCTCCGTGCCAGAGCTGGGCGCGCCAGGTAGGGTGAACCCGCGGGGCCGCGGTGGCTGCCGACCTTCTCATCCTGACCCCACCACATCCTGGGTCCCCACAGGCCCTCGAGTTCTGGGGCACCTGGGCCCGGGCATCCAGACAGCGCTCTGGTAGCTTGGGGAAGCTAGAAGACAGCCGGGGCGTCCAGCCTTTCTTCTCCAGAGAAAGCTCGCCCTGCATCGCGCTCCCGGGCTCCTCCCGCTCCAGCGTTATCTGGTCCTTCTGTCTGTGCCTCCGTCTTTGTCTCAGCCTCCTGGGCTTGCTTGCCCCATGACCACATTTTATTGTCCTGCACCCTGGCTGCCCGACTCCGGGGTTCTGTCCTCTTCCTGCCTCTGAGCCTCCATCCGGGCCTCCCCTGTACTCTGCCTCATCTGGGCCCCTGCCCCATCTGTGTTGGTCTTCATCCCTGCTTCTCTCTTCTGTTAGCTGCTTCTTTCGGGTGTCTACAAGATCCTAGTGTCTCTGCCCAGGTATCGGTGGGAGGTCTGGAGAGCTGAGTGTACAAAGTGAGAAGCCTAGTCTCTCTGTGGCCAAGACATGGGGTCTTTGAACTAGTTGCTCGCCTGTCTCTTCAACCTCAGTTTCCTTCCTGCTCTGAAAATGTATATCCCTCTCCTAGCCTTTCTAAGCCTGCGTGATTGTAACAGCCCGTGTAGGGTGGATGTTTGGGGAGGCAGCTTGGGTACTGATGATAGGATGCAGAGTAGAAGGAAGGAAGGGGCCCCTGAGGGCCAGGGTCAGAATGGACAGGTACCTGAGGCTGAGGATGGGGAGGCCAGAAATGGTGACTTTCTCTGCTGTGTTTGGAGTGAAAGAAACAAGGCACAAAGTCTCAAACTGCGCTTACACAGAGCTAGGGAATCCAGAACTCACCCTCAGAGCTGTTGGAATAGTCCGACCAGAGGAATTGTCCCCACCCATGACACATGCATATGTTTGCATTTGCTTTCCCTACTAACTTAAAACCTGTAGCCACTGGGTGCCTTCTTTGAGGCCAGCCTCTTTACCTTGCTGTGTCAGGGTTCTTTCACAGGAGATGTGGAAGATGGCTTTTTAAGAACAAGCGAATGACCTTTGGGTGGTCAGCTGGGCTGCAGTCTCTCCATGGTTGGAGACTGTCCCCTACAGATGCTTCACTTCCTCTTCTCTTGTGGATACCCAGACAGCAGTGTCTCATCTCTGAAATCTAAGGCTCAGGATGGGGTCTAGAACCCTGAGTTTGTAACTCTGACTTGGATTCAGGTATTGGTCTGGGGTTCTGTGAGGTTTGTGCAGGGTCTTGGATACCCTTTGACTTTCACAGGGCTTGGCATTTCTGGAGTCTCCTGTTCTCTTCCTGGGCTTCCGCTGCCTGCCTCCTTCCCCCTCTGCTGTGTTTGATAGGTGCCTAGGGCCCATCTCTACCGCAGAGAGGGGCAAGGCTGGAGATAGACCCAGGGCGGTGTCCCGGGAACTTCTCAGCATAGTGACATTACCCTCTCCATGGCTCCTGGGTACCAGGAAAGGTGTGTGGGAAAAGGTGGAGTCAGAAGGGGAAGCTGGAAAAAATGGGGGGCAGCTGCTCTCAGGTTCCACTTTCCTTGCCTCTGTCTATTTCTCTGCAGGAGCTGGGTCCCTTTTCATCTCTCTTCCTGTCTGTCCTTTCCTGGCCCCTGTTCCCTCCTCTCTTTCCCTTCTCTGCTTCTACTCTCATCTCCTGGAGACCCAGGTCTGCTGGACCCATTCATCCCCTTTGGGGCCATGGGATTGCTGCTTGGGCTCCTGGTACTGCTGCTGCTGTGGGGTGCTGTGGCTGAGGGCCCAGCCAAGAAGGTGCTGACCCTGGAGGGTGACCTGGTTCTGGGTGGGCTGTTCCCGGTGCACCAGAAGGGTGGCCCA